GGCTTTTTTAAAAACCCCAAGGTCCAGGCCACACCCCAAACCAATTAAATCCAACCCCTGAGGGTGGGGCCTGGGCATTGACTTTGCCCAGCAGCTCCAGTGCAGCCAAGTAGCCACGCTGAGCCTCCCGCCCTGGTCACCCGCCCACCCCCACCCCCACTCACCGGCTCCGGCCCTTAAAACGCTGCCGCGCTGCCAGGCTGCAGCAACGCCACACCCGGAGGCGGGCAGGCGCCTGTCGCTTCAGGTGTATGCTGACCCCTCGCACAGGGGCCTTTCCCAGCTCACCTGGGCTTGCCCTCCACCCCAGCACCACTAACCTAGGCTGCTCCCCCAAATCCGGCCAGCCCCAACCCCCCTTGCCGCGCCGGGGCTGGCTCCAGGCAGGCGGTATAGACGCACACGCAGCCACGACCTGCAACGAGGACAGTGGCCGCGCCGGCGCCTGCACAGAACAGGAGCACAGCGGGGTTCACCGGGGCCAGGGCGCACTCGGAGCCAGGCCCTGACGTGGAGGGCTCACAGCAAGAGCGAGATGCGCGGGCATAGCGGCCACAGCGAGGCCAGGGGAGGACAGGAGAGAGGGCGGTGACGCTGGAGGGTGCCGGAGGGCTGCATGGACGCAGTCGGCCTCTGGGGCTTGAGATCAGCAGAAACCGGCAAGGGGGGGGGGTAACCGGCAAAGGCGGCGCACTGGGCTCAGAGCCCCAAGGGCCAGAGAAGAGAACCCCGAAAGCACTCCCGCACGATGTAGGCGAAGGGCCCAGGCCGTAAGTGCCCCCAGGCACCGCAGCCCAGGGAAGCTGGCGTGGTCAGGACTGGGTCAGGACTGGGTCTGGACTGGTGGGCGCTGAGGCAGGAAGCACTTGAGGGGCCCTAAGGGATCACCTGAAAGCAATGCCCGCCCCGGCTCTCTGTAATCTTATCAGAGAGCAGGACCAAAACCCACTTCCTCATTCCACCAGTCAATGATTGACAAGCGGAATGCCAGAAGTAACAGCTGCAGGCAGGCACAAGCCGACCCAGCCGACCCGACCGGACGCACCGAGGTGAACTGCAGGGTCACCGGACGCGACTTCAAATCCTCAGCAGAACAACCTGCTTTAATGAACGTTTAGAAACGAGGCCCCTCTCTATGCAATACGCAAACACGGCTGAAGGAGTTGGGGGGTGGGGAGATGGGGGGGCAAAGGTCGCACCCATGGGCGACCAGGTATAGCCCCACCTCCAGCCGCCACAGAGACAACCGGTCTGGCCCTGGAAGACGTCTGGGCTTTATACGCCACAGCTGAGGTTGCTGGCTCTGGGCAAGGGGACGCTGCTGCCCCCGGCCACCTCGCGGGGGGTCGCTGCCCTGCGGCAGGCTGCTTGGTGCCAGCCTGCGAGTCCCACCCATGCAGGAGCAGCACCTTCGCTGCCCAGAGCCTCCTCCGGCACCCAGCACCCTCGGGTGACGTGAGCACAGGGCCCAGAGACCCCTGCTGACGTCACTGGCAGGTGGACAGTCCGGGGCCAGCGGGGCAGCCGCAGCCGGGCACCTGGTCCACCACCCTGTTGCGTGGGGGCAGAAAGTAACTGCTCTCGGGAACAGAGTGACTGACAGCCAGGCGCAGGCAGACCGCCAGGGCACGCTGTCCTCGCCTGGCTGGCCCCGTCCTCCTCGGGCGTGGCCCACAGGACGTGGACGGTGGGCGCAGCCTCCCCGCACCCTCCCGACGCTTCCCCGCGAGGCAGAACCAAAAAGAAATCCTGTCTTCAGTCCACGTTCTCACTTTCCTAGCGCGCCAGGTGCGCTGTGCACGCAGCCCTGTGACCGAGACTGCGCCGAGAAGCCCCTGGCTGGAAGCCAAGGAGACTTGAGAGGGAAACGTGGTTTCGGGGCCCAAACAGGTCTTAGGCAAAGCTGGGTGACACATCACGCTCCGCAGAGGGCGTGCGGGAGCCCCGCAGTGACTCAGCCAAGAGGATGCGCGGCGGCTGGCTTGGGCGGTGACACGAGTGCCCCGAGAGGAAGCGGGGACAGTGAGCCCGCTGCCGGCCGGCCGAGCGGCGGGTCCAGGAGCCATGGCCCAGCGCAGGCGCGGGCGGGCAGGCGTGGCGGGGCCCTGCGTGTGGCACCGCCTGGTAAAGGGAAGTGAACTTCTGAGCAGCAAGTGGCCGGTGGTGAAACCTTCTGTGCCCGTGTGGGTTTTTCTGGGGTTCCCCAAGCCCCACGAACTCCTGAGGTTGTACAGAGCACCCCGGTGTTGGGTCTAACGCCCCTCTTCCTCACCGCATTTGGATCTCCGCTCTATGGTCACCTGTCCTGGTTCATTAAAACGGAACACCCCAGGGTCGCCCTGGGGGCGCGGGGTGAAGTCTCAGCACTGCGAAGCTACCACAGTCACCGAGATCCCAGATCCCGCCAGGGAGGGACCCTGGGGCGCGGCAGACCTCTCCTGTCTCCTTGCTGCCCCCTCAGCAGCATATCTCCGTAGATCTGCTTGTCCTGCTCCCCACTCTCTCTGGGGAATCTGATAAATCCCCTCACCCCTAACCCCGCACCTCTGGCCTGAACCCCAGCTCTCAGATAAATAAATCTTTAAAAGTTAAAATGAAGGGAGCCACCCTGTGCACCCCACAACCACCCTCCTTGCGTCTCCTGAGGCCCTGCTTGTTCTTTCCCGGCATCGAGGCCTGCCAGGCTCTCACAGCTGCGGCCGGGTCTGCGCGCTCCACCTCTGGGGAGGGCTGGCGGGCAGCCGCATCCCCACTGGTTCTCGGGGGTCTTCGCCAGGGACTCACGCAAACTGGGACAGCTCCCTAGCCGACACGTCAGGGCTTCACCTGCGCGGACCCCACACCATCTGTGGGGGGCTCCTGGGGGTGCTGCTGCAGGGCTGGTGCTCAAGGGCCTGCCACCGCCAGAGATTCGCCCACCAGCAGACAGGGGTCGCCAAAGCCACTGCACATGTCAGCTGAGGGCCTGAGCTCCGCGTCCCGAGACCGCCCACCGCCACACGCCCCGTGAGCAGCGGCCGCAGGACGCCAGCAGGAGCTCGAGGGAAGCGGCAAGGTGTGACCAGTGGGGAAGGTGCCTGACAACACCAGACAGTCCCCAAGGACCCGATCTGGCAACTGCACCCTGGTGAATGGAGGTGAAATTTATATCCAGTCAAAACCCACAGGCTGAGCTGGATGTGAGCTGTGACAGGGTCGCTGGCCTTGAAGCAAGGGAGCTGCTGAGCAGAGCCCGAGGCGCAAGCCACAGCCGGCGCTCTCCGCACCCTCCCGCGGGGCGAAGGATGGGTACGGCGGCTCGCCCGAAGTGGGCCCGGACTCACCGGGCAGCAGGCGAGCCACGCCGCAGGGACGCCTCACAGGCAGAGCACAGCGGAGGAGCTGAGCAGAGGGCTGCGTGCGGTGGGACTGGCTGCACGCGGGGCACTGCAGAGGGAGCGAGAGCTGGCGCTGCCGGGCGCTGGGCAGGCCGCGAGACGGCCGCGGGGCTGGAGACACGTCCTTACTCTTGTCGGGCCAGCACGGACACACGACACCCAGAAACCGGCCTGCGGGTGAAGCGATGTCGATGCAGGCCCCTGCCCACCGCCTGGAGCGCGCGGCGCGGGGACCTGGGGGCGGGCACGCGCCGGCTGCTGATGCCGCCCCGACTCTGTTCTTCATTTTGCTCTGAGCAAACGGTAAGCTGCTAGGGAGCAACAGATGGAACAGCTGTGCTCGCAAGCCCGGCGGCGGGCCTCCGGGTGAAGGGCCGAGCGCGCGCCCCGCAGGCGCCCCCGTCCCGTGCGGCCTCGGCTCACCCGTGGTCTCTGCGCAGCGGACACGACCCGGGTAGGACACGCAGCACGTGGCCACAGGCAGCCTGCACGCTCCCTGGCCCCTACCTCCGGGTCATAATCCGCGTCTCCTGCTGTGATCCCGAGCGCCTGGGGCCGCTGTCCCCATCCCCCTCGCGCACAGACGGCGAAGCAGCATCAACGACTGTGACCGCTGGCGCCGCACTACCTCAGGGCCGACGACCCCAAGCTCCAGCCGCTGCGCAGACCCAAACCAGCCTCCTGTGGGATCTCCACCCTGCCGCCCCCGTGCGCATGTCCAGACCGCTCGTGCTCCCCATCTTCTCCCCGAAGCGTCTCCGTGATGACAACTCGCTCTTCCTCCTGGCTCAGGCCATGCTCAGGTCACTCTGGCTCCCGTCTCCACACTCCTGCCCGTGACTCGCGCTGCCGCCACCATTTCCAGGCCGTCGGGGCTCCCCCAGAGCCGCGCACCCTGGCTTGTGTGGACTCCCACGCCAGCCTCCCTGCCCGGCCCTCTCCTCACCCAACACCTGTCCCGGGTACGACAGTCACTGCTGAAAGACAGAGGAACGGTACTTGTGGGGACGAGGCCCCGAGGACCCCTCCCCTGCAGAGCGCCCCGGGCGTGGGCCTGCCCAGGCCTGTGCGCACTGCCAGGTGTGCCGGCCGCCCGCAGGCGCGCCCTCTGCCCCTCACTCGCCAGCTCCCTCTCGTCTCTCAGACGCATCTCAAGCCTCTGTCTTCAGCACAAGACCCTTGATCATCTCTGAGGCTACACAAAGGAGAATGGAGGTGCTCAAAGCAGGCACCTGCCCAGTACACCAGCAAAGCAGAGGTTTGGGGGGCACCCAGAAACGCAGCCTGGCTTACACCCATGGGACTGCAGCTAGAGTCACAGCCCCCCGTCCCCCATTTGCCCTCACCAGCCCCCTCTGCTAGGCCCCAACAAGCCATTGGTGGAAAGGCCCTCCAGGGCGTCCGGCAGAGCGAGCTCGCTGACCGGTTCCCGGCCGTGGTGGTCAGAGGCCGGGCGGGAGACTGCGCCAGCGGGCCGGAGCGGAGGCTCTAGCCACAGGGAGGCCTGTACCCCCACGAAGATCGGGGCTACAGAGCCCCCAAGCGGGCCATGGGGCCCTGACAAGGCAGGAACAGCGACCGCTCGAGCAGAGCCAGCCCACCGCCTCCCGAGAGGCAGGCGCGTTACCTGGGAAAGAGGCTGCTGAGGGGCCCCAGCGTCCTCGGCTTGCTCCCCGCCTCGGCGCCGGCCACGCTGCCCTGCGGGTGCAGGTCCCGGGTCTCCCCGGCGCAGCTCAGGGTGACATCGGTGAGCTGCGGGTCGTCGTCGTTCTCCAGGGTGACGATGGCGCTGGAGCTGCTGGTGACCACGAGGTCCACGAGGTCCTCATTGCTGACCGACAGCGTGGCCGACAGCTCTGTGCCGAGGCTGGACACGCTGCACACAGAGGCCTGGTCGCTGCGGCCCAGGGCTCTGGAGGTGGGGCTGTCGAGTCGCACCGCGTCGTAGCCCGTCCTGGGGAACGTGGAGGACTTCCGCACCCCCGGCCCCCGCTCGGTGCTCGGGGGGGCCGGTGTGGCGCAGGACGGCAGCGGGCAGGCGCTCCGGCAGGCCCGCTCGGCGGCAGCCTCCGCCTCGGACTGCTTCACGTGGACCACGCTGCAGGGGACAGGCTCGGGGTTGCCGACCTCTAGGGTGGGGATGCCCGAGTCCACCGACTTGAGGCTGCGGCGATCCTCCAGCACGCCGGCTCTCGGTGCGGGCCGGTACTCGGGCAGCGAGAGCGACCTGGGCGCCCGGGGAGCCACGTGCTGCAGCTTCTGCAGGTGCTCGCCCGGCCGCCCGGCCAGGACGCCCATGGAGACTACGCCATTTGTGGAGGCGGGGAGGCTCCCATCAGTCATCTTGGTCCAGGGAGAAGCTAGGAGAAGCACAAATAAGGACATCAAGGCAGTGGATCTAAAAAAGGCCAGACATAGAAGCCAAAGGCCCCGCCTCCTCGACGGCCCCGGGGAGGGTCCCCGACAGGAGTCCAGCGGGGTCCGACTGGCAGAGTTCTCACCACAAAGCGAGAGGAAGGGGATGCCAACAAAGAGAAAAACAAGAAAACCTCATCCGCCGCCTGCCACCGGCCCAGTCCTGGTCCCAGGACGGCGCTGGAGCATGGGGGGTGCCTTGGGGGGCGGCTGGGGGTGGGGGGCTCTGGGAGCGGGGAGGCTTGTTTTGGATTTCTGGAAACGACAAGACGGCTCCTCAAGAGTGCGGGCGCTCGTGGCGCAACCCAGGCCACGGCTGTCGCGACAGCGCCCAGACTGACCGGGGGCACTGCGCCCACCGAGCACACCCTGCCGTGCCCGGCCCGGCGGCCCACGCGTGTCCGAGCCGCCGAGCCGCCTTACTCAGGCCGACAAGGCAGGGCAGGGGCCCTGCTCCTTGGGAGAAACAGAGGTTCACAGAAGTCAAGTGGCCGAGCCGGGGCTGACCCGGAAACAGGCCATCCTGCGTGCACGTGTGGCTGAGTGGGGATTACGAGACGCCGGGCGAGAAGCCGGCTCGGTGGAGACAGATGGTCGGTGAAGGGAACAGGAAGACGCTATAAAGTCACGGAGCGGGAGGGTCAACCCGTCAGCCCCGAGCCCGGGGCCACAGCTCGCTGGCCTGCGGCCGGCGGAACCAGTGCGCGGCGCCAGGGTGGACAGCGCAGCCGGAGCGCACTGACAGCCTGGGGGCTGCCGCCTCCACCGACTTTCAAACGCGGAGGCCGGAGGGCCGCGGCGGCACCCCGGCTCAGACCCAAGCAGCGGGGCGGCGGTGGGGGGAATCGCCCGGTGTGCCAGGCCCTGACCCCAGAGCGCAGCCGCGGGGGGCGCCCTCACAGGCATGGCGCCCAGGGTCCGGCCAGTCCCAGCAGCATCCCGGCTTCCCTCCAGGAAGCCCGGCCCGCCTCTCACGCCTCTCACGCCCCTCACGGTCAACACTGTAGAAGCAAATTCTAGAAACAGAAAACAGGGTGGAGGGTAACTTCCCTCCCTCCCTCCCTCAAAAGACAGAAGAAACCAGTCAGATGTGCAGTCTGGAGCAGAAACAGAAATACAAGGCCAAGTGGAAATGCAGAATTCAGAATCGGATGGAACCTGAAACCCGACCCAGTGGGTAAGGATGATTTCCTTGTGGCTCTGTGCCAACAGGCTGTCAATTTCCTTAGCTGTGAGGCCCTCGCTGAACTGTACCAAAGCAAAACATGAAGTCAGGAGTTTAATACCTAAGAGAGGACCTCCCTGGGGGCGCAGGGGTCAAGTCCGAGCCCTGTGAAGCTATGGGCAGCACGAGTTCCCCGGCCAGGGAGGGACCCCAGGGCACAGCAGCCTCCTCCTGTCCCCCCGCTGCCCCCTCAGCACTGTGTCTCAGTGGCTCCGCCTGTTCTGCTCCCCACTCTGTCTCTAGGGGGGTCCTCTCACCCCCTGCACCTCTGGCCTGCACCCCAGCTCTTGTGTGTGTTTTAAAAAAAAAAAAAAGGCTGCATGGACAGAACACAAGGCCGTCTTCCTAGGAACCGGGCGCGTGGGCAGAGGCGGTGGCCAGTCACGTCCCCAGAGCTGGAAACCACGTGAGCTGGCTGGTCCCAGGCCCCGGAGAGCGGGCAAGGGCAGGCTCCACAGCCTTGTGCAGGCACCCCGGCTTCCTCCTTCTCTCCCCCGCAGGAGGGCCTCTTCTGGCAGAAGCTGAGTGCCTGAAGGCCTCCCCCAGGTTCAAGTCCAAGTCTGCTCTGAGTTCCTTAAACCTCAGGAACAGGGTGTCTGCCTTCGGGGAAACAAGCCCGAAAGGGAAAATGTACTTCCTCTTGCAACACACCCTAAAACCAAAACTGCAGGGCCAACGCCCCTCCCACCAGGTGCTGCCCGATCAGAGGCCTGGCACCTGCCTTGGGGGCCCCCACGGGGGCTGAGCAAAGCTCGTGCTTGGGGGCCGCTGCAAGGTGGACGCAGAGGCTGGCCAGGGGCCAGCTGCGGATGGCCTGCCTCCAAGAGATGCTCGCTAAGGTCACGCTAAGCTGACACAGCCTCCCCAGCCCGCGCCCCGCCCCCCGCCTGCTCCCTCAACGCCAGCTGACTGTGCCAAGGCCCGGGTCCTCGCCCCAGCCCAGCATCAGCGCCCTGGGGACCTGGCGGCAGGTGCCACAGTGGACAGGACACTGCTGGCCACCTCCTCCCAGAGGCCTTCCCAGCGGTCCCAGGAAGCGGTATGCGCTCCTTCCTGGGCTCCCCGGGCCACACCCCCCTGAAGCCAGCACACCTTACGGAGGTCCCATCTCTCCTTTCTGGCTCCTAGGCCTGGGCAGGCACAGGGCGAACAGTTCCTGCACACCTGGCGAGGGCCTGGCATAGACTACAGGCTCAGATGTCTACCTCCTGAATTATTACTGGCAGTGAAGTCCCAAGGGCGCAGCCCGCTGGGCGCGCTGCTGAGAGCCGGTCACAGTGCAGTGCGCCGGAGGTCCCGGGACAGTCCACACTTCGAGGCAGGGCCGGACAGTCACACTTCGTGGTGGCCACCGCGCTGGGCGGTGAGGCCACCACCAACACGGCGCCAACTCGGGAGTCAGCCCTCCTGCTACACCATTCCCAGTGCCCGGGCCAGCACCTCCAGACAAGAGAAGGCAGGGCCTTGGGCGTGAGCGCCAGCTGGAGCACAAAGGCCCCGAAGGGGCTTCGCTCCTGCTGACCTGGGCTGCCAGCTGCGGCGCAGCTCCCCACCACAGACAGGACACCCGTGCCGGCTCCTGCAGGGACAGCGGGGGGTCCCCTGCCCCCCCCCCAGTCCAGTGCCAGCCTCGCTGCTGCGCCGTGTCCTGGACAAGACCTGAGGCGGCACCAGGGTCCGCCCGAGGGCTCCCGGCCCTCCCCACTGCCCCTGGACGAGGGCGCGCCTGCCGCGGCGGGAGTTACGCAGGGAGGGAGTCTGCTCTTTAAATGGGTCAGTCTTTGGCACAAAAATATTCCTCAAAGAGAACTTCCTCGAGTCTGCATATATTCCTCTGGTAGGTGAATGCAACTAATTTTAGGCCTCCCGAACGTCACACACGTGGTCTCGGCCAGCTTCAGTCCGTCGGCAAGCCGGGCGGACGCGGCGGCCCAGGCGCCTCCACGCTAACCTGCTCTGCCGCAGCGGACATTCGCAGTGGCGCTCGGGCCACGGGAGGGGTGGGAGGTGGTCACCGGGCGACTCCGCCCAGCCCGTGGACTGTCCGGAGCACGTCCACATGACCACGTGGCCCCACCAAGGGGACTGGTCTCACTGAGCAGCCTTCCTGAGCGCTGGCCACGCACCCAAGCTCTAGGTGCCGCGCTCCGCCCCCGCCTGCCGCGCTCCGAGGTGGGACCCAGAGGCGCCGGGGCGCACACCTGTGGCCACACAGCAACAGAAACTGGTTCAAACTGGGCCTCAGCCCGAGCCCGTCCGTGGCTGGCCTGCAGCTCTGGGGTCCAGCCTATGGCTCGGCTCGTGGCCACCTGACAGTCGGCCGCGCCGGCTCACCAGACCGCCGCTGGGCCCTGAACTAGCTCCTCAGCTTCCCGGAGCCTCGAAGTCCACGGCTGTAGCGGGAGAGAACAGGCCCGCCCCTCTCTTCGGCGACAAGACTAGGGGATGGCAACCTAGGGGTCCGAGCCTTGGGGCCGCAGAGGTGCCCGAAGTGCCACTATTTTGGCAGCTCATTTGCACCGGCCACCGCCAGCACCTGCCTCGCTGCGGGGCTCCTTCCTGTCACCAGCATCTCTGGCGCGTGCTGCCCGGGCCGGCCGCAACTCCAACAGCAAAGGAAGCAGCCAGCCCACCCGGGGAGGGGTCCCCAGCTCTGCCTTCCAGGTTTCTAAACAACTCAGGCCCCCGAAACTCTACCCCACCCCCAAAGAAACATCAGCAGACCACAACCCATTTCCCAAACGGCGGGCTCTTCTCAGGACAGTTTTCCAAGCCCCCCCAGCCCCACCGGCAAAGCCGGCAGGCACAGCTGTGGCCGCAGGTGCTCCCCAAGGGAAGAGCGTGGAGCAAGTCTCTCCATGGGCGAGCTGCGGGCTCACGGGCGGGGACAGGCAGGAGGGCTGAAGGGTGCTGGGGGCTGGGGGGGCGGCCCAGGGTTCTGGGAGGCGCAGCGACAGGGTGGGTTGGGCAGAAGGAGAAGCTGCTTTCTACAGCCCAGCTGCGCCCCTCGCTGAGCCTGACCTGAGCCCCACTCAAGGGGACCTGTGCTGACCTGGCCCAGCCACCTGCTGGGGAAGAATCTCACCTCTGCCTCCCTCCTCCCTCCCTCTGCCTCTGAACCGGTTACTGCTTCCCAAACGGTGCATTCATCATGACCTTGAGCCCCAAGTGCACCTGGGCTCTCCCTAAGATCAGGGGGCACCCACACTCCCCAGTGGCCAAGGCAGGGTGCGAGGAGGGCCGGGAGGGGTCGCCCAAGGGGGAGGCATGCCAGCTGAACGGGCAGGACAGCGCCCCCGGCCTCAGCGCTCTCTGCCAGCACACAGCGCTGGGCAGTTCAAAGACAGAAATGGTTGTGCGGCGGCCAGGGTCGGCCACTGGGGACAGGGGCTGGCTGGGCAGGGCCACAGAGCCAGCGCTCAGGCCTCCGGAGCGCTGTCGCACAGCTTTGGGCCCCGGGGCACTCGTCGGCAGCTCCTGTCCAGCCAGGGCCCCCCGTGGCCACCCAGCCACACAGGCTCTGGGCCCTGGGCTGCCCCGGGGAGGGTGCCCGATGCCCACCTGCGTGGTGGAGGCTCAGAGGCCAGGAACAGGGGCCCCGCAGGGGTCTCTGGCATGGCAGCGGGGTCCCAGCACAGGAGGCGGGATTCCGAGAGCAAAGGGGTGAGGGTGCCCCAACGCGCGGGAACCCCGGGGTTCAGGAGCCCTGGGAGGGTAGTTCCAGGAGTCGTGGCGGGGTTGGTCCTGGGGAGCTCCCAGACGGCGGCGCCAGGGGTCGGGCTCTGGGGAGGCGCGGACTTCGGGGACTCAGGGAAGGGTCTGAGTGGAAGGGTCGCGGGGATCGGTTCCGCAGGCGAGCCCGCTGGTCTCCCAGGGGAGCCCCAGTCTGACAGAAAAACTTTTCGCGGAGTTCCGGAAAAGGAGCGCGCGGCGGCGCGCGTCCCCTAGAGCCGCCAGGCGCCCCCGCG